AATAATGTTATTGGAGATGATGGTGCAGCAGAAATCAGCAGACTGATTCAATTCAATCATCAGATTCGTTCGATAGATCTAACATTGAACGGTATTTCACAACGAGGATTGACGCAATTGAGAGATGCTTTAAAAACCAATCGAACTTTGACAACGTTAAAAGGATTGCAATTCAAACAATTGCATAATAAAATAATCAAAGAGGAAATAAGGACCATGATTGAAGCTAATCAAATAGAATGGGGCAAAGAAGTGCTCAGTAATGGCACTGATGATGCTTCACAACTAACTAAATCCGTCTACCTAGAAAAAGGTCAGCAACTCGACCATGAAATCAATTTTCCTGAACACATCATGGAAGTAATCAGTCATTACAGAACTCTTTGAAGCTATGGAACTCATTCAACAATTCAAAATTTTTCTTTGTACTCTAAATGAAGATCTTTTTTATATAAGCAAACTGATCAAAGTAATGAAGAGAATGAATGATAGTTTTTCTCAAGATGAAGAAAAAAAATTAAGAAGCAATGTGTACCAAAGACCGAAAACGAGTCGAGTCGAGTGTGAAGTTTTGAGAAATGTGTCGAGTCGAGTCGAGTCCAGTCAGGCCTACTGTCGAGTCGAGTTTGACTCGGGTGTGGGGTGGGTGTGTGGGTGTGGGTGTGGGTGTGGGTGTGAGTTTTTCCTTTTACTACATCCACACCCACCCACATATTTGAGAATCGTTGATATATTTGTAGTAGAAGTCGATCTTAACAAAATATGGATTGACGAGACAAACAAGATTTTGTTGTCTTCAATTTTCACTTGGGTTTGAATTTTCTTTTTCTATCACCTAAACCTGTTTACATTCAATGTTCATTCGAGAAGTTTATCAAGATTCTTCAGTGAATACGTCTTTGCCCTCAGGTATAATTGTTTTTATGGCATCTCCGAACATAATATTACTCCTTTCCTTCTATTGTTTTTTGTTTTGCTCGGCATTGTTTGACCGAATTGAGAATTCTTGGAATGTGGCATTATCTCACTTGAGAAAACGAACCGTTGATTAAATTCTATGAACTCAAACAAAATCGTTTCTCATTAAACTTAATTATATTCATCGATTTTGCTAGGAAAAGTAGACATTTTCCTACAGATAATGTACAGTCACACTTTACCCATGGACCATATCTTTTAAATATTGACATCACTAGAACAAAGATGTACAATTGTGGTAAGGGGCGTGCAATATTTTATTGTTTATTCAATAGATCTTTTCAAATTGATTTTTATTGATGAGTTAACCTAAGAAAGAGTCACGATCATTTCTGAGATTTTTGCAAGTTTTGACAAAGAAAACAAAAATAGATGACCCTGATGAATTCTTGAGCTGTACAGATTCATTAAACCTCCGTGGTGATATTTTGATTGAGACAGATATGGAAATTGACGTCAAAAGAGTTCTCAGTCATAATTCCGCTTTTTTTTAATGTTTCGACATTTTAGCGTTTCTATTCGATTCACAATCTTTGGTGAATTTACAAAAGTTCTCACTAAGTCAATGTGTAAATAAAATATCCCAACAATAAACAGTCAAGTAACATTTATCAACGTTTTTTTTTTCACTTTACTGAAAATTTTTTTCTTTCTTACACATTATTTCCAAATTCTACAAAACATGAAACTTGACAGATTCATTATTTGTCCTCTCACTCTCAAAAATAGCACTGTTCGTTTATACTATCCATCGACTCCGTTAAAATTGAGACAATATTATTCAACAATCGATTCCAAATGAAACATTCGTCAAGTCAAGAAAAAAGAGAATTGAGTACAGTTTTTTGACAAAAGTTAGAATAACCACATTCGATCAACGATGAAATCCTTGAATCAAAATAAGAACAAATGGGAATAATGAGTTAGTTCCATTTTGTCACCTCCACTAGCAATGACATTTTATTCTGGAATTCCATTGCTAAGTCAATGCATTGTAATTCTAAGCTCTTTATTTCATATGTAGAGTTATTGAACCTTTGGTGACTCTTTCAACTTTTATTACCCAATCAATTCGTAATTCGTTTGATGGATTATCCCTCAATCATCATACATTGAGTGAATTCAGTTTTCTAGAAAAACTACACACTGTGTCATTGAAAACATGCATCATAATGGTTCATGCTGTTGTTTCTTGTTGGAAAGAATCTTCAATATAATGAGAGTTTCGATTTTCTTTTTGTGGTGTACTTTTATTATCTAATCAAGAGTTGAATTTTTTTGCTTAGGATGTGGGTGTGTTTAAAGAGAACATCAATACATTCACATTCACACCAAAAATAGTGACGTTTTTGGGTCCTATATCTTCCTACTAGCTTTCCTGTTTGTATAACTATTGCACTGTCTCATTTCAAATTTATTTAGGTGTGGCTTCTGAAAATTTTAGTTGTCGAAACCATCCGAGAAATTCGATGTAGTTGAACGAATGTCAAATCTGAAAGAATTTTATTTTTTAAGAGATTTCGATTGTTGACCAACGCCCTCTTTTTTCACTTTACACGTTTTTCTTTCCTTGTATTGTGTTGGTTTTTCATAACGTCAATCACATAAATGAAACTGAATTTACTTTCGTACATAGCATTATTAGTTCTCTCTCTCAATTCATCTTATTGATGTCTACTAGTACATTGACTTCATCATTCGATACACTACCTATTGAACTTATTCATCAAATATTCAATAGTCTCGATGAACAGACAATTATTCTTTCACTTCGTTATGTTTGCAAACGGTTCTATACGATTACAAATGTTTATAATTGTTATAAACTTAATTTTCAATCAATATCAAAATCGAACTTTGATCGTATTTGTCGATTTATTCAACCAGAAAATGTGATTTCACTTACACTTTCTGATGAACATACGACAACAGGTCAAATTCAATTATTTTTTTCATTATTTCGTATTGAACGTTTTACAAGACTTTGTTCATTGACACTTATTCATATTAAAGAACCTGATTTGAAACGAATCCTTCAACATCTTACTACTTGTAAGCTTACTTCATTATCAATTAAACAGAAAGATACTTATAATCGTTCAAAAATAACTAATCGTCTTCTTTCGACAATTCTTCAACAACCTAGTCTTCAAAAATTAACCATGAATGTAATAGAAAATGATATGAATAAATTATATTGGCCAATAAAATATACAATACAACATTTAACATTATTCGATTGTTTTTCATCATTTTTCTTCTCTACGAACATTATTTATCAGTGATTGTTATTTAATCGATTATGAAGAACCAATTATTAAAATTCCTAATCTTATACCAATGCAACAATTAATTTCACTTACAATGAAAAATGCTAGTTTCGATATGGATAAAATTGAAATAATTCTTTCAAATACACCTTTATTGACACATCTTCGATTGATTGGTGATGTAGATCGAATTGACTTTCCATAGGAACAATTTATTCAAATAAAATTATTAATGTTAAATAAATTTGAATTTGTTTTTAGTAAGAAAGTCGATATTGATTATCGTTCGATCGATGGTCGGCAATTGATTGCTTCATTTCAAACAGTGTTTTGGCTTGAAATCAAACATTGGTTTGTTACATGTGAACTTATTCAACATGCATCATCTAATTTTCGATATCTAGGAAATGAAATACGACTCTATTCGATACCTTTTATCGGTCGTCATTTTGAATATCATCTAAATTCGAATATAATTACATTTTCGACTTTACCTGAAATGAATAATGATATAACTATGATGGATCATGTAGAAAGTGTTTATTTAGAAACAAAAGAACTAATGACTGCAATTACAAACAAACAGGTAAAATAAGAAAAAGAATGATGAGTGTTCGAAAAAACTAATTAGAGAAATAATCCTATCTTTCAGCTTGAGTTTTCTACGAATTAAGTTTCTCAAAAGCGACAGCAATCTCTCTCATACCTTCAATCAACATATGAAAGAGAAAATTGTTTTCTATGTAACGGTATGGTTATAAATGAAAAATTCGAAATTGAAACCTGAAAATTTCGAAATATGAAAAATCAACAGTTTAGTTTTCGATTGGTGGAAACTGTTGAATGCAAAATTTTTTAGTAGCGTATGTATTTTGATTGTCTTAGATATGATTGATTATTCACCACGCTAATGCAAGTTTTTCATTTTCGTTCAGCCCGACTGCAAGTGTGAACGTTTGACTATAATATTGGAAGTTAGTTTTTATTTATTTGATATTCCAAACGAAACTACAGACTGTCTTATTGATAGTGAAGGTCTGGATGAGACGTTCACCGTAGCAAGTTATATTTATAGAGGATTAAATTCTGTTCAAAAGAATAAATTAGAATGACAATAATAAAATTGAAATTTAGACAATTATTCATTGTATATGGACCAAAAAAATTACCAACGGTCGATAGATATTTTTTTATTCTGCACTTGAAAAGAGAGAATTTCATGATGTTTAAGTCTTTTGAAAAACCTATATCTAAAGAAGAAAGTTTTGAATTGAAGTACTTGATCATTGAAAGTCTTATATATCATGAAATGATTTTAATTAATAGCTAGCAACTCATTTTTTTTCCACTAGATTCCTCAGGAAAATAAACTATCTGATTCAATTTTTTCTTCTTTGTGGAATGAGGCTTATGGAGTTGAATTTTTTTCTTCATTTTAACCATATCATTGAGTAGAACACATTTTTCTCTATCGATTAAATATTTTAATTTGAAACAAAAGCATCTCATTTTTTTTTTATTTGAATTATAGAAGAAACTTTAGTCTATTTAATAGACTGCAGTACATATTTTTGAACTTAAGTATCATACTCGTAGAAAATTTGTATTCAAGAGATTTCTCTTTTGAACGACATTTTGTTTTAACGGAAGAAATAAATTTTCAGAGTGGCCAAACCAACACTAGAATCCTGTTTATTGAGATGTTTTTTTTCTTCGATGATAAATAGTCTGACGCAATTCTACTAGATATTATCAACATCTTTTATGATAGATAAGAATCTAAATTAGCAGATGACTTCCATTTAGACGAAGGAATTTCTCAATCAAACAACAGAGAAAGCAACGATCAGTCAAATAAAAAAAAAGGTATTCAAAGTTGATAACATTTTGAAGAAATTGAATATCATGGGGCGTGAGAACAGTAAATCTATTGATTTATGTCGATAAAGGAAAAATGATTCATGCCATCGAAGTCTTGCAAAAAAAAATACCTTCTTTCATATGCAGTTCCTCGTAAAAACTCGACGATTGATGTATTCTAAGTAGGATTTCCGATTGGAAGGAACTACTTTCTAGCAAACTTTAACTTTTCCTCATCCCTAAAACCCATTGGATATTTTTAATAGAGTTCTAATAAATTGATTCTGTTTTTTCCTTGATTATGTTCTATTTAAAAATAGAATATGCCATCAATAACACGGTTATTTCATCAAGTATCTGATCTCGATATTCAAATTGATAATACTTGGTCAATTGATTGTGTTCATCTGGTCTCGACATTAATTGATTTGTCACAAATCAGAAAGCTCAAACTGCTTGATAAATTTGATCCAGATTCTTCTCAAATCATGACAACAAATTACTTAAAAATATTCGAGCAAGCATACAATGTTCGTTCCCTCATTATTATTATTCATTGGCTTGCTAAGACTGATACCAAGATCACAAATCAATTATGCTCCATAATTCCTAGTCATATTGAACATTTGACAATTGATGTTAGATCAATGAAGGATATGAAAATCGTACTCGAACGTGTTGATCATTTGTCAAGTGTTACATTTCGATTTTACGATAGTAAATCCACTTGGCAAACAATCATTGAATGGATTTCGGATCGAAGAGATTTAACATATTGCAAAGAATCTGGTGAACTACATATATGGCTTGGTATGAAAAAGACGAATATGCCAAAGTGACATGGGACTAGTCGTAAACATACTAAAACTAACTGATTGTTATGCCAATGTATGATTTATTTTTTTCTATATAATATTAGAAATAGGTTATTGATGTGTTTGAAAAGATGTTTTTCTGTAAAAGAATAAAAATATTGTATATTAAATGAAACATATTGAAAGAAAATATTATTTGATGATGAAACAATTATCAATTGTGAGATATTTGTTTTGGTGAGGGCGGCGAAATCTTGAGAATGTAGAGTATGGATGTAGATGAAGAAAAAATTAGCGCCGGCACTGACGTCCGCGCCCATCCACATTCAAACACCTGCATTGTGTGTGTTAGAGTTGGCAAAGGCAAGGTCTTGGGTGGGGTGTGGGCGTGGGCGGGTGTGGGTGTAGCTGTGAATGAAGGCAACGTGAGCGCCCACACCCACACCCTTTATTATTCAGATTATTTAATTGAATTCGATAGTTCCTAGATAAATGTAATTTATTTATATTGCCACAATATATATGAATAGTAATAGTAAGTTGATTGACTGATTTTCAATCAAATATATTTTCGACCATATATTGCTTTCGTACTTAAAGCATGTCAAACATTCAATGATTTATAAAAACTAAATTTTAATTGGATGTATGATTTTTTTTATCGACTTCATTTTTGTCATGCTTTTTATCTTTATATCAGGTATATCAAGACACATTGATTGATGAAAGTTTTGAGAAAAGCTTTTCCTTAGATATTTCGTCAAATAAGTACAGTTTGACGTTGAATAATTGTTTTAGACGTAATGTGTTGTTGTGTCTTCTACATGTTTCGTAGTTGTAATGCCAAAGCTCAATGAATGCCACTTATCTCTAAAGAGGTTAAAAGTTTAACTTGTTATAAAGAATTATAATTGATTTTCTACCCATGTAACAACTGTTACATGTTGGTCTAGACTTTTTCAAGTACAAAGAACGATCAAATTTTAAAGAAAAAAAAATGCATGTTTCGATTCAACTTTTAGAATATCTTAATCTTCTGAATTATTGTCTGATTTCATTTAGTTCTCATTCTTTATCCAAACTGTAAGCTTTTTCTAGCAAAATATTTTTAATTTCACTGTACATTCTATACCAAACTTGAACTTCACATCAACTGCAACTGCATAGGCATCACCAGTAATGATATTGTGTTTAGTTGAATGATTCATTAGATTATGCTTATTCTTACAACATAGTCCTTCAAAATTATGACAAAGCTATATTCATAAAAGTATTATAGTAGAATGCTATCAGATTGCAACATGTTTTGGGATTCAAATGAAATACTTGAACTTCTTGAGCACGAGCGTCATTCAGTATAGAATATTCTTCAGATTTGTACACATTCGAAAAACTCCTGTGTAAAAAAGAAAAACTATTATGTTTAAGCGTTCTCTTGGTACAGCATTTTTTTTCTCAAAACTTTTCGAGCAGTCATAAAGATTTTACTTTTGAACACGGCTCTAACTAAAGTTTTCTAAATGAACTTGACTTTAGCTACCTTCATGAAAAACAGTTATACGCTCAGGATAAATCTTAAGATCTGCACATGAAACCAAACCTTGATTCAGGAGGAGGGGAGGATCTTCGATCTTTTCTATGCAAAGACTCTCAAGTACATTCTTCCATACCAGCGAATATTGTAAGGGGAGCTTACAGTGTCGTCCTCTGCATAAGCAACAACGGTTCCCTTGACATCAACAAGACGAAAAAATTATATTCACCAGTCATCGCCGTAGGTTCTTGATATCATAAGCAACACTATTACTCTTCATGTTGATTCTTACTACTGCATACGTTAGTATCTGATACTGCGAAAGATGGAAAGTTTTTTCTACACGTATATAATCATGAAGCCAAAGATAGGACTGATAAGCTCTTGAAAATTTACAGCGATGGTCGCTATACAAGCACTTCCGGTTATTCTAAGCTGAATACATCTGCACAATAGTAGAAAGCGGTCATTCTCATATATTCCCGTTATCATAATCAGCATTACAAGTCTTCATCGGGATCCTCAAGACTGCATCACTGAGTCCAGTATACAGGGGCAGATGAAAATTTTTTTTCATATATAAGTGTGATGATAAAGTCAGTTATAGCACCGGTAGGGAAATGAAAACCTACAGTGATGTCTGGTAGGTGGATGCTACTGGTTATAGTTAGCCTTACCGTGGCTGAATAGGAATAGAAACCGGGTATCACCGTGGGTTTTCACTGTTTCAACCTCCATTTTTAGCAATAAGGATATCGGTTGAAGCCGTATTTCTAAGTTGCGTGCATAAGCAGCTTTCATATTTGAATACTTTAGCAGTTGGGAATGTAAGTTTTATGAAAAAACCCATGTTGATTAGCTGGTGGCTGATCATCACTGTTGCATCCATAATCATGAAGCGATCACCGATTGAAAACTGGTTATGAAGTTTAAGAAATACGATCGTAAATTATTGTAGCCAGATTGATAGCGACTGAAGATGCACTTTTCAATTATTGGAGAAGCGGCTTCATGTTTAATAAGACTCAGTTGAACCTGAGTAGCTTTATCTGTAGTACATTGTGACCGGTGCTTACGTTGCTCGTATACCGGTGGAACGGTGAACGGTGCACCGCTACTGCGGTGATCGGTACCCCGGTGGCACCGGTTCTACGGTGAACCGGTGAGACCGGTGAACCGTAGACCGATCACACCGGTGACCATCGTCACCGTTGCATCCCTACTCTCAATTTCTCTACCGTTTATTTCTAACTGCCGGTATTAGAAAAGTTTGTATCCTTAATTAAGCTATTAGAAAATTATTTGAGTGTGATTTTAGTTCAGGTTGTTCTTTCAGACTCATTTCGCTATTTACCTACTTCGAAAGGTTTATATTTAGTGAACGCCTCTATTCTGATGCATGATGTTCTGAAAAAGTTCTCTGATTAAGCTAATCATCTCGTTCCATACACTCTAAAGAGTTTTTTATCTAAAATTATTATTGCTCTGCTACTAATGACTTGGTAAAGTGCACCAAATGCAAAAGTGTAGCATAAAAAAGAAGTTTTTCTTTTGTTTTACACATCACTTGATAGAGCTCAATCTGAATATATGTAATTTTTTGTATTTTGAACGTATTTTCGGGATGAGAACATAAAAATACTGAAAATAACCAATCGGTAGGTATCTTCCAGAAAAATAAGAATTTTCACCTCTTTACATTCATTATTTTTTTCAAAATTTAGTTATTTAACCCTTTACGGCCGGATGTTGCCAAATAGCAACATTTTGCCAATATCATCTTAGGATTCATCTTAAAGTGATGAGATATAGTTCCTTAAGCGATTTGATAATTAATTACATGCATTTTAGGGGAAACCTATGCCTTTTCAAGAAAGGAGAAAGCTATTATTGACGAGAAGGATGAATTCTCCCGTCAACACCCGAAACAGCCCCCGAGTTGAAATGATCTGTTTTCCATTTGTGCGAGCACTCGATGCGAGAAGTAACTAGTGGTTAATTTTCCTCTCCAGATCCATTATCTATTATATCAATAAGATGAATCATTCAGTTTACTCAAAGAATAGAGTACAAGAATGTTGCCTTTTGGCAACATCCGGCTGCAAGAGTACAAAAAGTTGGGAATATTGATTTTTTTTTCCTTGATGGAAGTTCAATAATTTGCTGTTAGTTTTAGTCCAGATTATCAAACAAAAGCATACTTTGTTTATCTGCCCACCTCTTACAGCCTCAATGTGCGATATATTCCCATAATACTCAATAACTTTCCGAGATAGTGCACATTTTACCTATTTTCCCCAGAGAAGCTCACAAATTCAGCGAGATTCTAACAAGATTTACAGTACATCATAGTATTTCTATTCAGACTACTATAAAACATTATTAGTCTTGTTAAAATCTTACTAAATTCATGGGCTTCCCTAGGGAAAATAGGTGAAATTTGCACTATTTCAGAAAGTTTTTGAGTATTTTGGCAATATATTGCAGATTGAGGCTGCAAGAGGTAGGCAGATAAACAAAGTATGCTTTTGTTTGACAATCTGGACTAAAACCAACAGCAAATTATTGGACTTCCATCGAGGTAAAATAATTCACTTTTCCCAATTTTTTGTACCCTTGCGGCCGGTTGTTGCCAAAAGGCAACATGTTGGCATTCGGCTCAGTATCAGTTCTTTTAACTACAAGATAGATTTCGGTAACCTCCACATCTAAGAGACAAAGAATATATAGAAGAAGAAATTTTTGCTTGCTATCTTCTGGTAGCCGGCCGTAAAGGGTTAAGGACAACTTCAATCATTCAAAAACTGCGGCTACTTGTTAATTTGATTTGCAAGATAATTGAATGATTTTACATCATTCGATTCAGAAGATATTTCTGCATTCAAAAATATGAAAATCTCCATATGTTCATTTAAAATAGCTTAGAAAAAAAATAAACTTTTCAATTATTCGAAAATCTGTTCGAATTAGGAACATGTACTGTATGGTATCTTATTTCTTTTGGGTTTTCCAACTGTTCTTTTATTGTGTAGTTTTTGAAACTAAATCGATAAAAATGTGGAACGCCATTATCTTGAAGATTAACAGATTACTATATTTGCAATCTTTAGATATGTGGTTTTACTCAACATAACTAATATGCAAAGAGTTATGAATTTTTTTACAATAATCATCATGAAGTTGTTGTCTCTCATCATAAAACACGAGTGTTGTCATTGTAGTTCTCTGAAACTTAGTCTAACTGGCTAAAAAAGCTAACTATGGATTTGTGAAAAAATGTTTTCCACGTATGTACTCATTTGTTCTGGTTTATACGCTTTTATTACGGAACTTTAACTGCTTTCAATGGCACAAGTTGATTGAAAACCTCTGACAATTGGAATAAACTGCCCAAAAATATATTTTCGTCCTATTGGAGAAAATTTGTGATAGAGCTCAATGAAAATGAAAAAATGATTAACGAAAGTTTTAATTCTTGTAATTTTGTTCG